GGGTTTAGGGTTTAGGGTTCACTTGCGTAGTTCTCTAAACTAGGGTCCCTCTTCGGGTCCTCTTTAGAAGGGCGCCGTACTCTCCCTAATGTAGAGACCTACTCACTTCTAGCTTCAGGAGCAGTGCCCGCACTCGGCAATCACCCAATACCCTAAAGCCCTAAGCACTAGGCCCTGAGCCCTAAACCCTCAGTCCTACTCCCCAAACCCTAAACCCCTACACCCTAAATCTTAAATCCCTTAACCCCTAAACCCTAAACTCCTCCACCCTAAACTCCTGAACCCTAAACCCTAAATCTCAAATCCCTTAACCTCCAAACCCTAAGCCTCAGCCCCTTACCTGGGCCCAGTTGGCTCAAGCAGGGTTCAGGTTCGAGTGAGTCTGTCTGGGCTTCCCCGGAGCTGCATAGGGACAGTTCCCTAGATGAGGGTCCCTTTTTCGGTCCCCAAAAGAGTACGGCACCCTTATAAACAGGATCCTTCAACGGACCCAAATTTTGAGGACTACCCATGTGGGTAGTTCTCTAGATTCGGGTCCCTTTTAGGGTCCTTGTTATAGGGGCGCAGCACTATATTTTGGAGGACCTAAAAGGGGCCCCAATTTGGAGAACTTCCCATATGCAATTATGTGAAGCCTGAGCCATGGCTCTTAAACCCTGGTTTTGGCCATCTACATGATGCTATGGCAGCCCCAAGCCCAAACCCTAAAAAATACTTACTTACTTACCTTACACATGACAGTATAGCCTAAAAGCCAACACTACATAGTTACTTGTCCTACACCACAATATGGGGGTTTCCGAAAATAGGGGACCCTAATATAGTACCCTAAATCGTAGGATCCTTATTATAAGGTACCCCTTATTTTTCGGAAAGTCCCATATAGGAATCCAAGCCCAGGTGACCGACCTGCTGATAGGGTACAACGTTCTGGAACGCACGAGCCTTGGAGCTTCGGCGACTAAGAAGGGTTCTCCTGCCCTGAACCCTAAACCCTGAACCCTAAGCCGTCGTCTACAGTCTAGGATGTATTTGGGGTTCAACTGGGGCCGTTTGGAGTTTCAGCCTTTTTGTGCCTGCACCTTGTAGGGTCTTATAGGGTTTAGGAGTTTTTTTTGATACTTGACTATAGCTTCAACTTGACTGTGGCTTCCTTGGAGACCCGTGGAGGTCCAGTGGATCTGGCTATTGTGGCAGTTGCAGGGTTCATGGTTTGGGTCTGGGGTTTGGGGTCGAGAGTGCTACCAGGGAATTTATGAACCTGGGTCTACATCATTCACGATGCAAGTTGACTTCGTCCACCTTGCCAGCACAGCTTGCAGCTTGAAAACTTCAGAGGCGTCAAGATGTGCATGTTTTGGTTTCAATACTTCTAGCCGCAACAGGCCAAAGCATCACTTCTGATTAGTGGTCTTCCCTGGACAATTACAATTGAGGCTTTCTGTTCCTAGTCAAGTTTGCTATGTTGAGTTTTGTTCTTGTTCTCAGGCATGGACGATGTCAGCGAAGGTATAGATGCTCATTTCCTCTTATAGTCCTTCAGCTAGTTTAATATCCCCCCCAAGCCCTACTAAAATCATTATGACCTCACGTTCAGTAGTCATTGATTAAATAGGATTTTACACGGAAGCCCAAGGCTCTTCTGGGTCACTGGGGATCATTGCACTTCAGCGAGATCTTTCGGTGCATAGCTTCAATGTGCGGAGCAGAAAGCTGAGCCATGCTTAGGATGACGAAGCTCGCAGAGAGCTTGAAGTTCAGCATGTGACATCTTCGCAGGTCTTTAGTTTCGGCCCTGTAGCTTGATGACCCTGCGCTCGTCCGATTTACTGCTGCCCGGTGCCGGATTTGCACCAGCTGAGCATCATCCCATGTCATCGGCAGCCTCCGTCGCGGCCTTGAGTGCGGTTAGTACCAAGACAGCCGTGACAATCAACGTTCACAATGCCGGCGACACGAGCGGCTATGTCGCTTACGGAGTTGAGCGCGTTCGGGCTTGGAAGGACTCTGTGCAGGCAGGCCCCTACCAGAAGGTGAAGGTTCACCCACACGGGTTCGCAGAAATGAAGGCCCGCCTGGTGCAGCAGGAGTTATGTCGCCATCTCGGAGGCTTGAATAGCCCCAGAGTGTCCCTGAGCCCTAGCACAACCATTCCTGAGTCGCCTGTGCCCTCGTCAGAATTTGAGGATGCAGTTCCGGAGCAGGAGCTTCACAGAGGGTCTGGTGTTTCTGTGGAACGCCGCCGGTGTAGAGGCCGCCCGGTGATCTTCAAGAAGTATTTCCAGAGCACGATGCCCACACACCACTCCCTCCAGGAACAGGTGGCTTATGAGCTGAGCTTATACTACAAGGATCTAAAGGGTCTCAGCAACGTGGTTCAGATTGAGACTCATTTCTATGACCCATTCCACAATCTGACGTTGGTGTTTCCCGATCTTGGGAGCAACCAGTATCCTCGGGACAGATCTGGTATAACCAGCTACATGAGACAGATGCTGTTGGCACTGGATGGTTTGTGGAAGCGAGAAATTGTCCACTGCAACATCAAAGGTGGCCCCAAGCCGAATGCCATCTTTGATTCTGGTGGCAAACTGACACTGATCGACTTTGAATCGGCGGTCAGGCGTCATGAGCTCATTGACCAAGGACAGAATCCCGCTCCGTTCAGTAGTCACTTGAGTCAGACGCTCTGCTACCGAGGAAATCCCCATTATGTAGCCCCGGAAGTGATGGTTTCACAGCAAGGACACAACCCGTACGGCAGAACAAGGTTCGGACGTCGCAGGGATACTTTCAGTGCAGGTGTTGTCTTTGCCGAGCTGGTATTGAATGTGCACCACATGTTCAGATATTCTACTGGCTTTGTCTCGGACGAAGATATCATTGAGGCCCACGAAGTGCTGAGGGGACGGCTGTCCATACAGAGTCCAGCTACTGTCTTGGGTTGCTACGGCAGCTTCTTGTTGGATCACTCCGAGTTTAATCATTTGGCATCTGACCTAATTGTGAAGATGCTCAACTGTTGTCGGGTTTCTCGACCAACACCAGCGAGCCTTCTTCAGCATTCGCTTTTTCAACTATGAACTGATGCACCCTGTGCGAGAACTTCGTGAACTTAGAGTTTAGGTATGTTTGGGTTTGTCAGGGTTTAGGGCGGGGGAGTCGCAAAGGGCACAGAAGTCACACTTAGCTTCCGACAAGCGTGACGTGGCCGAAATCTCTTCTGCGCTGCATCCCGCATGCAAAAATCAAAGTTCCTTGGAGATGTTTGGTTGCGAACCTGCAGCTTGCAAATCCCCCAGTGCTTGAGTATACCATACTTCCCATAGTTTAGGGTCCTTAAGGTAATGCTGAATATACTACCTGCACAATAAGGAATATACCATACTTCCCATAGTTTAGGGTCCTTAAGGTAATGCTGAATATACTACCCACAATAAGGAATATACCATACTTCCCATAGTTTAGGGTCCTTAAGGTGATGCAGAATTTATCTTATCAACAGTATGTGAGGTGTCCTCTTCTTGATTCCGGCCAACCACGCGTCCAGCGGGGAGGATGCTGCGCTGCTTAGGGCAGAGGGTCGACTCGAAGGATCACTGTTTAGGGCTTAGGGGTTTAGGGGTTTAGGGGTTTAGGGTTTGGGGGTTTAGGGGTTTATTGGGTTTAGGGTTTAGGAGTTTATAGGGTTTAGGGTTTGGGGTTTAGGGGTTTAGGGTTTGGGGCTTAGAGGTTTAGGGTTTCGGGTTTAGGGTCCGGCTCGCATACTGGGTGTTCCTAAATCATCGCTCGTATGTTGTTTTCTAGTACGGTACAACTGATTGTGCACAGGGGGGTTTTATTTTGAGCCTAAGGGATTTCGGATTTACGGTACGATTCGGAGTCATTCACGAGAGGCTGTTATACCCCCGCAGTTTCAACTTCTCGTAGTTTTTGGGCAGAAGTATAACCTGCACCCTAAGTCATTTGACTTGTCCATCGAGTAGGTTTCAGCCCTAAACCCTAAACCCTAAACCCTAATATGGGTTCGGATTGTTGGCTTTGTCAATGAAGGTCCCAGGACCCAACCATAGCGACTCTGCTCCAGATTCCGTAACTGCAAGCTTCGAGACCCTACCCGCCAAATAGGACGCCCAGACCTTCTTCGTAGAGCACCCCAGACGAAATGCAAAAGACCTTGAGCCAAACCCTAAACCCTAAACCAACCCTAAACCAACCCTAAACCCTAAGCCCTAAAACCCTAAACCCTAAACCCTAAACCCAAACCCTAAACCCTAAACCCTACGCCCCGAACTTCCCAAGCGAAGCCGCGAAGCGGGCGGAAATCCTGAAGTCTTAGGCAGTTTACGTAGCGATACCCCGGAAACCCCGGAACTGCATCCCTAACCCTAGGCCCCTAAGTAGTTCCTTTTTGGGATTATATTTAGAATCCGATAAGGTAATCCCAAAAGGGAACTACTTAGGGGCCTATGGGTAACCATGAGCTTTGAATCCAAAAGCCCATCGTACCCTGCTTTTAACGGGTTAAAAGACTCCTGTAAATCGTAGAGACGTAGCGCCCCAATTAAGCACTCTGAGGACCCACGCTCCGAACTAAATTCCAAGTCTGTTAATGCTTTCAACTCGTAACTGTCCCAACCCGCAGCATCCAATGAACACCGACCCTCAATGTTCCCAAGCACTCCCAAGCACCCAACTCCTACTATAGGTTTCTGTCTAGTATCACAGGCACACAAACAGGGCCCTGACAGCATGCTTACAGGAGTCAGTTAAAGGGCACCGATACCCCTGAGCCCAATTCCCCCTCATCACCCAACATGACCCGCTAAGGGCCCCATTATTCCGTGCCTCTTGGCTCAAGTTCTGCACTCTTCGTCAATCGACCTTTGCACCTGCAGCGTCTGACCAGCCTTGAGGACTGTGCTTGACTCTTCGGTTTCTTGCTTCATAAGGGTTGAACATGGTTTTGCAAGGTTTGTTCCTTGAACGCCTTTCCGGTGTGTTAAGTGGGTTTCCTGTGCTTGAAATACATAAACACAAAAATGCACATATACAAGCAAGCAAACATCCATACGTACATCCATCCATACATACATACACGCCGCATGCATACATACACGCGTACATGCGTACGTACGTTTGTACGTAGTTGTATGTCCATGTTAGTGTGTATGCCAATGTGTATGTGTATGTGTATGCGCATGTGCACGTGTATGTTTATGTGTGGGTATGTATGCGTGCGTGTGTGTGTGTATGTACGTATGTATGTATGTATGTATGCATGCAGGCAGGTATGTATGTATGTATGTAAGTATGTATGTAGGTATGTATGTATGTATATGTGTATGTATGCTTGTATGTATGTGTATATGCATGTATGTATGTGGGTGATTAATGTAAGTATGTATGTGTGCATGTGTGTATGTATACATGTATGTATGTATGTATGTATGTATGTATGTATGTATGTATTTGTGTATGTATGTATGTATGTATCTATGTATATATGTATGTATGTAATTAATGTAAGTATGTATGGATGCATGCATGTATGTATGTATGTATGTATGTGTGTATGAGTATGCATGTATGTATGTATGTATGTATGCATGTATGCATGTATGTATGTATGCCATGTGTATGTATGCATGCATGCATGCATGCATGCATGCATGCATGCATGCATGCATGCATGCAAGTATGTATGCATGTATGTACGTATGTACGTATGTACGTATGTACGTACGTATGTATGTATGTATGTATGTATGTGAATGCAGGTATGTATGTGTGTGTACATATGTATGTATGTATGCATGTGAATGCAGGTATGTATGTGTGTGTACATATGTATGTATGTATGCATGTATGCATGTATGTAGGCATGGATGTATTTATGTGTGTATGTATGTATGTGTGTATGTATGTGTGTATAGGTATGTACCTATGTATGTGTGTGCACATAAGTATGTATGTATGTATGTATGTATGTATGTATTTATGTATGTATGTACGTATGTATGTATTTGTGTATGTATTTATGTATTTGTGTATGTACGTATGTATGTATGTATGTATGTATGTATGTGTGTATATGTATGTACGTATGTATGTGTGTGTGCACATATGTATATATGTGTATGTGTATGTGTATGTGTATGTGTATGTGTATGTGTATGTGTATGTATGTGTATGTATGTATGCATGCTAGTTTTGAAGGGCTAGTTGGAGTTGAAGATCGGATGCATACTATCGGTGTTGTGCAGATATTTTATCGGCTTTTCGGGGGCTACAATCCCAGGAGTTTTCGTATGTCTTGACAGGGAGCACACACTTTGAACATGATTTTGTTTTTAGGCTTTAGGGGGTTTAGGCTTTAGATTTTTCGGCTTTAGGGGCTTAGGGTTTAGGCTTTAGGGGTTTAGGCTGTAGGGTTTAGGGGTTAAGGCTTGAGGGTTTAGGGTTTAGGTTCCAAGCTCTAGGGTCCAGGTTAAGGGCAAATCCTAAAGCTTCAAGAGAGTCTCAGAGTGCTAAGCCAAAGAGGCCGTAATGAGACAGAAACAAGGATCCTGTGATTGAGCTTATGATAGGGTTTAGGGTCTTGGGGTTTAGGGGTTTAGGGTTTAGGGTTTTATGGAAGCCGTAAAGGAATCCTCAATAGAACGCTAAGCTCTCCGTAGGACTGCCTGTCAGCATGACCTCGGCCGAGACTCTCGGATCCATCGTGTGAGGGCTTTACCCGGAGGTGCATCAGGGGTTTAGGGTTTAGGGTTTTCAGAGAGGTGTTTAGCATTTGTTTAGAGCGTCGGGATTCGTAGGTCCGCGGGTTTGAAGTGCAGGGCGTGATCCCCAGAAGGATCCTTAATCATTAAGGCTTTATGTAAGGACCCGGAAAAGGCACCACTAAGTTATACCATGTATGTAACACTTTGAATCCCAAGGAAGACCCGCGTAGCGCTGGTGGGCCTTGGCCGCGCCGGCCATTTCCACCTTCAGACCCTCGGCCGTGGATGTCTGCTCTCCCTCGTTGGTTAAAGGAAGGTTATTGCTTCAAGCTGCCAGACTTATAAGAAAATCAGAGTATGAACAATGTAGCTCTATTGCCTGTTGAGGACGCAGACCATTGCTTTCAGCTTTGATGGTGCCATTTTCGCAGTTGAAGCTTGTGTGTCTTCTGTCTTCGGACTTGGTGCTTTGGACTGAACTCTTCGTGTGGCGCCTACCTCAGCCCTACAGTAAATCAAATTAAATCCCGAGCTCTGAACTCCACAGTCGATGCGTCGGAGGAACTCCCTATAGTCTCCATTGTAGTTCCCTTTTTTGGGTTTAACCAATTCTATATGATAAAGGATCCTAGAAGGTAGCCCCAAAAAGGAACTACAATGGAGACTCTAGGTAGACCCTAAACCTTTAACTCTAAACTGAAAACCTTAAGCCTTGAACCCTACAAACCCTAAGCCCCAAAAGCAGCGTAGCCCCAAAAAAGAACTACAATGGAGACTATAGGTCAAGGCCAAAGCCACAAGGACTCCACCCTGCCTGCACTGCAAGCCCATCCCTTAACCCTCTCTTTTGGAAGGTGGGGCTTTCACACCGCAAAGTTGTAAAGCTCAAACCCTAGAATTTAAACTTTTCAACCTTAAAACCTAAACCCTGAACCCTAAACCTTTCAATTTCAACCCTAAACCCTAACCCCTGCAACTCTTGCAAGGTCCATGGTGCAGCTGCCACACATGGTGGAGCTCAAATGGGTCGTGGATATTGACGAGGAGAAGGCCGGCTGTAGGTGTGAGGGCTTAACGTTTAGGGGTTTAGGGTTTTAGGGTTTAGGGTTTAGGGTTTAGGGGTTTAGGGGTTTAGGGGTTTAGGGGTTTAGGGGTTTAGGGGTTTAGGGTGTGGTTTTGGGGGTTATAGAGTTAAGGGGTTGAGGGTTTGGGATTTAAACCTGTAGGGGTTTAGGGTTATTTTTTTTAATGGTTTAGGTTAAGAACAACTAGATTCGACTTATGAATCAAGGCATCCTGAAAGGGCTTCATGATATAGGGTTTAGGATTTAGGGTTTAGGATTTAGGGTTTAGGATTTAGGGTTTAGGATTTATGGTTTAGGATTTATGGTTTAGGATTTAGGATTTGGGATTTAGAGTTTAGGGTTTAGGGTTTAGGAGGGTTGTACAATAAGGGTCGACCTGAGCTTTCCCTATGCGTCCCATAGCCGCAGGCCGGAGTAAGATCGTGAAGATGATGCTTGGCTAAGATGGGGCGCCAATATTATTCCTTCGGGTTCCTTAGCAGTTTTGTATGGTTGTACCCTGATACACCCCACAACCATTCTGATCGTTGAGGCCCCTGTATTACTGGAGCCTGGGGGTTTGGGCTCTCAGGACCTCGGATTCAATCATTCCCAGTGAAGACAGGATCGCACGCCCACAAACCCAAAGCACGAAGTTGACTGCGCAGTCATCATAGGCACACGCGCTGCTTCAGTCTCGCGCCTTCAAGGATCAATACATCCTGTGTTGGAAAAGCCGTGAGACAGCGAAGAAGCATCTCAACACAAGCTTCTGCGTGTGAAGTTGGGTTTGGAATGGGGCTTGGTGAGTACATGTAGCGCTGCAACTTTCGCGACGTCCTGAACAGCGCATTAACAACCCAGCTTCTTGTACGTACTTGCCCGAAACGACTGGAATGCCTGCTAAGACGTTGCAGACAGTCGTCAGCCATGTTAGAAAGCCTGTTACAAAAAAAACCCTAAACCCGTAACCCCCTAACCCCTAAACCCTAAACCCCTAACCCCTAAACCCAGAAAGCCTTTTGAATTATCAGACAAGACAGGCCCAGCGGATTGCAGCTGAGCAGGGCTGCCGCTGGAGCACCAAGCTGGGCCACTTTGGCAAAGGGGGCCCATGCTTCGGTCCCCAAAACGGATTCTAATGTGTTCCTATAGTATGGGGCTCTATCTTTAAGGGTTTCTATTGTAAGTGTTCTGTATTTATGTGCGGTTTCTAAAGGGTCTCTTGGGTTTCTATAGGGTCCTGCAAGAGTTTTATATGGTTTCACGGCACCCAGTGATAGCCTTGGAGCGAGCACCTTGTGACAACACCTCCAGAAACAGTTCAAGCATTACAGAGCCGGAGTCTTCCAGTCGAGTACATGAATTCCAGACCAAAAGCTCAAGTAATATCGACAACCCTTTTCGGGTTTAGGGGTTAGGGCTGAATCCCAAATGTCTACAGCCTGAACTCCTAAACCAGGTGAGACGCTCGCAGATGTAGATGCAGTGGTCATCGCTTCTGCGACGGACACTCACTTCCCGTGACCATCCGACTTAAAGGATCGGGGCACAGGGTAGATGTAGCTATGGCTACTTGGAACCCGTATCGTACAGGGTCCCAGTCTACTACCCCTAAACCCGAAACTCTGCAGAAGTAACCCCAGGTGCTGCAAAGAAACATACGAGGGATGGTAGTACATGGAGCAGGTTGATGTTGGGGCTTGAGTGAGTGTATGCAGGGCTGGTAAGGAATATTGGTGCCAAGAATTCTGAGGTAGGTGGACAAGGAAGCTGCACGCGTCAATATTTACAACATTTTAAAACCCATAACCCCTGAACCTATAGGCGTTAAAGCCTTACTCGGCCCCCCAGTACTGGGATTATGATGGTTTCTCTTCAGCTTGGAGTTTCTCCATGACAGCTGAACAGTTGTGAAAACGATGTCCGAATGTCGCCTGCAATCCTAAAACCTGTAGCCCTCAACCTCCCAAGACCCCCCCAAAACCGAAACTCGAAGTAGCCTAGGCTCCCAGTAGCCTGAAAAGACGAGGCTGAGAGGTAGAGTATGGAGCCCTTTACATCCCTACCAAACCCCACAAGTCCTGCAGCTACCCACAAGCCCTAACGGCCGATAGCCAGCGCCCATGTTAGATCGAAATTAAGATAGTTTACCACACATTACACTATACGATAACGTAATGTAGGACATTACATTTTGAATACCACTCTACTCTCGTTTTTCTTGTTATCCCAAACTCTAGACCCTCCGAGCTCCCGAGGTAGTGCTACAGCCTAATCTGGTACAACCGACTTTATGGTAGAGTCCTTTCATGATACGGGTTCTAGCAGGATGCCGAATACACTGCCTAAACCCTAAACCCCTAAAGCCCTAAAGCCTAAATCCAAAACCCTAAACCCTTTAAGAAAAAACACATGTTTGGTGGAGTCTCCGGGCCTGCATAGAGGTACATTATGGACTCCCTGCGTGCCAACAAAGCGGTCATGGCGGAGAAGCCCATTTCCCACGAGCTGCAGGAGGAGACCTATTGTTGGTCTGAGGAAGTTTAGGCTTTTAGGATTCTACCTTGGGGGGGGGGGGGGGGGGGGGGGGCGGGTATTTAACCCTCAATTGCCACTTTACACATAGTGCAGAAGGATATTTGACATTGACACACTGTCACAAGAGTTCATGCCGTGTGCAAGCCTGCCCAACACTACGCTGTTGACTTCGCTTCGCCACTTCTTTCAATATACTGCAGATGGATGTTTTACATTTCTGGTATCAGGCACGCTGTCACAAGCCTTGATGCCGAGCATGCTCAAAACACAGATCTTCACAGCGTTTTTGCCTCTTTGCACAAAACTGTGCATCACGACATAGTGATGGCGAGGTTGATAATGAAGAAGCTGCTGATGACGACTGCACATATGATAACGGCAGAGTGAATTACTGTCAGCAATGGGTTCTTCCCAAATCTTAGGGGTACTTAGAAATGATTTTTAATCTTTGGCTACTATAAACCCTAAGAAGCAGCTGAA